TGACATGTTTAAATTAGTTCAAGTGGCATGTAAACTGATCATCATTTCGTCTTTATAAAAAAATGAAAGCACAAAATAATGATGATTACAAGCTTATTATACTTGTAAGTCACATTACATTTGCCTTGGGAAAGTCGTTTATAATATCAGCAAGAGAAAATATAGCAATGAGTACACTGATAAATGTTCATATTACAAATACACCTGCTCTTCAAATTGTAATGTACTTTAGAATAAATCCATCATGAAAGGTTTTTACAACAGCAATTGTTCAGATGTTTATATTTAAAACAAATTAGGGTCCCACTTTATATTAAGTGTCCTTAACTACTATGTACTTACATCAAAAAATTAATACAATGTACTTACTGTGTTTATAATGCAATTGAGAACACTTGTGGTGCTTTTGAGTTGGGATAGAGGTTGGGTTATGGACAGGTTTGGTGGTGTGGGTGGGTTTAAGGGTGGGATAAGGTGTAAGGTATGGTCAACAGAGTATTTACAAATGTAACTACAAAAGTTAATTACAGATGTAATTACATACATGTATTAATCAAGCATAAGTACACAGTAAATACACAATAAGTACATTGTAACAAACTATTATATATATTATATTAGTTATCATATTAGTTAAGGCCACTTAATATAAAGTGGGACCCAAATTAGACACAAGGGCGAGACAGTGGCGCAGTAGGTAGTGCTGTCACCTCACAGCAAGATGGTCACTGGGTCGCTGGTTCGAACCTCGGTTCAGTTGGTGTTTCTGTGTGGAGTTTGCATGTTCTCCCTGCCTTCGCGTGGGTTTCCTCCGGGATCTCCGGTTTCCCCCACAGTCCCAAGACATGTGGTACAGGTGAATTGGGTAAGCTAAATTGTCCGTAGTGTATGAGTGTGTTTGTGAATGTGTGTGTTGATGTTTCCCAGAAATAGGTTGCGGCTGGAGGGGCTGTGTAAAAACTTGCTGGATAGGTTGGCGGTTCATTGCGCTGTGGCAACCCCGGTTTAATAAAGGGACTAAGCCAACAAGAAAATGAATGAATGAATGAATGAATCAGACGCATTAATCTTTAAAAATATAAAACTACTGCAATGTAAATGTCCTAATTTGATGGATGCATCAAATAAAATATTTAAAACTCATTGTTACTTATTATAATATATATAATAAAAAAGGTATTATCCCATAATTTTTGTGAATTATTACTATACACTATAAAGATTTGGAAAATCTGCTTTACATGTACATGAACCATAGATATATACACTAGATATTGCATACAGGCCCTGAGCATGTGTCAATACCACCGCCACATTCATACAGTGCTCCCAGGACAAAAGCCATTCAACCGCACTTAGTGAAGACCAATGCCAATCAGAATATGCTGGACTTTTGCATTGTGAAAGGGTGTAGTAATGAGCGAACTAAGAAACCAAAGCATAAAGAAATTTCATAGGTTATATTTAGTTTTTTACGATTTTGCATATTATGAAATTGTATGATCAACAAGTGACGTTATTGATGAGAATACAGTCACTTACTGCATTCACTATAAAGCATAGGAGCACAAACTTGCACTAAATACTATGCTGGTTTTGTGGAGAAAAAAAAACACACAAAAAAAAACTGCGAAAATGTAATGAAACATGACAAAAGATGCTGATGCAAAAAATATGTATTATTGTCGCCAAAGAGAATGCTAGTTTTTGAAGCAACTTTAGGGTGCTTGATAACAAAACAGTGCCAAATATTTTTTTCATGATTTTATTAATCATATATATACTATTTAGATTAGGAAGGTGTATATTATGCTCACTGAGATGGAGGGACATCGATGCTTCACACAAATTGTTCATCATGGCGATTCATTCACAAACGAATCCCTCCCTCTATAACTTGGGAAAGGGGGTGTTGGAATAATCAGCGTTGGGCAAGCTACATGGAAAATTAGTTACTCTACTAAAAATGTAGCTTAACTACTCCAAAAGTTACCGCCTGGGAAATGTAGCAAACTAAGCAAAAAGCTACATGGCAAAAGTAGCTTTGCTACATCTAAGCTATTTCTTTTTTTTATTTCATTTTTAAATCAAAGCAACTTTAATCCAAGTCAGTTCTGTCTTAATGATCAATAAAACTGTCAAAGAAACATATGAGGCATAATTGTTAAGTTCATTTATTCACTGCAATTGGCTGTTCCAAACAGATACATTTTTTACAGCATTTGCAAAAATAAAAAATTAAAGAAATGCTGTTACACATCTACAACACTACAGTTATGTATAGTAAAGTGAAATATATAGGAAAGTATTATAGTATATATAACACACACACACAAACACACACACAAACACACACACACACACACACACACACACACACACACACACACACACACACACACACACACACACACACACACACACACACACACACACACACACACACACACACACACACACACACACACATATATATATATACACACACAGTTAAAGTCAGAATTATTAGACCGCTTGTTTATTTTTTCTTTAATTTCTGTTTAACAGAGAGAAATTTTTTTCAACACATTTTTAATCATAATAGTTTTAATAACTCATTTCTAATAACTAATTTATTTTATCTTTGTCATGATGACAGTAAATAATATTTGACTAGATATTTTTCAAGAAACTTCTACACAGCTTAAAGTAATATTTAAAGGCTTAACTAGGTTAATTAGGTTAACTAGGCAGGTTAGGGTAATTAGGCAAGTTATTGTATAATAATGGTTTGTTCTGTAGACTATGGGAAAAAAAAATTGCTTAAAGGGGCTAATAATATTGACCTTAAAATGGTGTTTAAAAAATTAAAAACTGCTTTTATTCTAGCTGAAATAAAACAAATAAGACTTTCTCCAGAAGAAAAAAATAGTATAAAAAAAAGATACTGTATATATATCTGTATATATATTCAACTGTATATATATCTATATATATATACACTTCAACTGTGTATATATATATATATATATATATATATATATATACATACATTAAATATAATACATTTTAAATATATTATAGTTTATAGTATATATAGTATAATATATCAACGCCTATATTATTATTGTTTCATGTAAGTGCAATTGGGCACATTTGCAGAACAAACAGTGAATAAATTTAAACCAATTCAACTCTAACAAGAGCACAGCATCAGAATTAACTTTAAGACAAGTACTTCGGGTTATGGTCCTGCTTCAGAAATAATTACACTACATTCATCTTTCCATCAAGCAAGTTTCTCATGTCAGCCCAATGATTGATTGGCGACATCACCGACTGGAGCGAGAAGTGACAGTAACTCAACAAAAAGTTTGTTTTCGACCACCGTAAAACACAAAGAAGAAGAATTCGCCATTGTTGCTATCATATGGATTTACTTTCATCGGCCAGACACCGACTTCACAACTCCGTGAATTGCGGTGGCGTCACTTAATGATCAGTGATCTGTAAATGTTGCTTGTGTGGACACTACGGCCCTACTTGCTTGAAATAATAGCTTTGCTACTGAAGACCTATTTGATTTAGAAAGTAGTGACGTTACCACTACGCTACTGCCCAAGAGCGTAGCTCTCTGTCGGCAAAGTGGGATTGACTCACATTCATCAATGTAGAAAAGTGATGTAAGATTATGATTTTCGTAATTTAAAAACTATTTGCATACTAACAAACAGGAATTTTATTTGTATATATATATATATATATATATATATATATATATATATATATATATATATATATATATGAGCAATATCACACAAGTAGCAGTGCGATATGGCTGTATATCGGCACTGGTAGGAGGCGTGCAATGGCACTCGTGTGATATTGCGTTTATACAACAGTTTGACGGCATAATTGTGTATATAAAATCAAAATCCAACATTGAGAGACTCAAAAACACTTTTGTATGTGGAACTACTTTCTTCCACATTGGATTTAAATCATAAGCTGACAGTTAAACAGTTGAGCGTGCATCTTTTAAACTTTAGATCCGTAGTGTCTGCTTTTTGCTGGCTGTATGTTGGGCGGAGTAATACACAAAGTGTAAAAAGGCTGTAGGAGTTCTGATATTGCAGAATATTGCACAGCTATCAGCCAATCAGATTTGAGAACCAGACATAACTGTTGTGTAAATATATATATATATATATATATATATATATATATATATATATATATATATATATATATATATATATATATATATATATATATATATATATATATATATATATTCATTCATTTTCTTGTCAGCTTTTTCCCTTTATTAATCCGGGGTCGCCACAGCGGAATGAACCGCCAACTTATCCAGCAAGTTTTTAAGCAGCGGATGCCCTTCCAGCCACAACCCATCTCTGGGAAACATCCACACACATTCACACACACACTACGGACAATTTAGCCTACCCAATTCACCTGTACCACATGTCTTTGGACTGTGGGGGAAACCGGAGCACCCGGGGGAAACCCATGCGAAGGCAGGGAGAACATGCAAACTCCACACAGAAATGCCAACTGAGCCGAGGTTCGAACCAGCGACCTTCTTGCTGTGAGGCGACAGCACTACCTACTGCGCCACTGCAGTTTATATATATTATATATATACATCTCAATCTTAATCTTTAGGTTTTAATATGCAGTAGAATGTGTCTGTGTGTGTGTTTGTTTGTTTACATTTGTTCACATTTGTTTATGTGGTATATGAAGAAACAAAAAACATGCCTTGTAAATCAAAACCCTTAAAATCAGAAGAATGGGGTCTTTTGACAATTTTTTTTCGCCACAGATTTGGTTTTAGGGGTAGAGGTAGGGTAAGACCATATCATAAGCAGTTTTTACAATAACAACTACAACACGCCCATTGAGAGTAGACCATATATGTGTGTGTGTGTGTGTGTGTGTGTGTGTGTTACACATGAAATATTTGCACATACCAGCATCCCTGTACATGAAAGACTTACCGAATCAAGCGCTATCCGTTTCTGCACTTTAAAGTGTTTTTTGGGCTCCAGTCTGTAAATATGTTTGTCGGTGATGAGTAGAGCTCTGTCCTTTGTGTTGTTGAACCAGTTGAGCTGAACAAAAGAATAATCAGAAGAGAAAGAGAGAGAGAAAACCAGGTAAACCAACTGCCTCTGTCTGAGCTTGACTACAATAATAAGTAATTCAGGACTTTTTGAAATTCATATGCAACCTTTGCATCAGCAGCACTGTTTGGTGGGTTTATGTACAGCTCTATTGTACAGAATGTTCCAGGCTATAAAAATAGGCTGTGAAATTGGGTTGGTGGTGCGGTTGAGTCTCGCTGGGAAGGGAAGATAAACTGGACCAATGGTAGCTGCATCTTTAGCTGCAGTGCTATGATAGTGTGTGTATATTACAGTGTTTAGCTCAAGGCAGTCAAACATCCAGCATTGGGCTGTGCTTGTGATCTCCACATTGGCTGTGGTCAAATGAGCAATTTATATGTGAGAATATGAGGAAGTGAACTAGACTTTGTGACTTGAGGCTTGGTGAACTAAAAAAACGAATATATTTATTACATGTGTCAGGTTTATCTCATGTAAAAACTTGTTGAAGTTGAACAGTTGAAGTCAGAATTATTAGCCCCCCTGAATTATTAGCCTCTCAGTTTATTTTTTCCCAATTTCTGTTTAGCAGGGAGATTTTTTTTTCAACACATTTCTAAACATAATAGTTTTAACAGCTAATTACTCACAACTTTTTTTTTTAAATCTTTGCTATGATGACAGTAAAGATTTTACTAGATATTTTTCAAGACACTTCTATACAGCTTAAAATGAAAATGTAAAGGCTTAACTAGGTTAAATAGGTTTACTAGGCAAGTTAGAGTAATTAGGTAAGTCATTGTACCCAAGGTTTGTTCTGTAGACTATCTTTAAGCCTTTAATTGTCTCTTTAAGCTGTGTAGAAGTGTCAAGAAAATATCTAGTAAAATAGTATTTACTATCATCATGGCAAAGGTAAAAGAAATCAGTTATTTGAGATGAGTTATTAAAACTATTAGGTTTAGAAATGTGTTGAAAAAATCGTGTGACTTTAACTGTATATATATATATATTAAGGTTTAAGGGCGTAAATAATTTGGACCTTAAAATGGCTTTAAAAAAATAAACACAGCTTTTATTCCAGCCAAAATAAAACAAATAATACTTTCTCCAGAAGAAAAAAATATAATCAGACATACTGTGAAAATGGTCTTGCCCTTTTAAACATCATTTGGGAAATCAAAGGGGGCTAATAATTTTGACTTCAACTGTTTTTACTTTATTGTTTTTCAGACATTAAATAAATTTGCTCTCGTTTACCTTCTTACATTCAATCTAAACTTATTTGGCATTTGAATTATTTTGACTTTTTTTTTTACTATTGTCACTCTATTACATTTTTTTCAAACAGTGTTATTAACTGATTTTGCAGCATTATTTTACTTGCTCAGTTTTCTATTCATACCATTCTTAAATTATTTGGACTTCTAACATTACTTGTCTTAATATTTTAATTTTGAATTTGGCATGTTTAGTTGGACTGCTGTTATTTTATTATTTATGCCAATATTTCCCATATACTGCACTTGACTGTTATTTAATTTATTTTATAATACAGCTGTTTTTTTCCACTTGTGGCATTTTTAAATTTTACTTATCTAATCTATTGGCAGTGGGCATTGGTTCGAGTCTCTGCTAAGTCAGTTAGTATTTCTGTGTGGAGTTTGCATGTTCTCCCCATGTTCGTGTGGGTTCGGGTGTACCAGTTTCCCCCACAGTCCAAAGACATACGCTATAGGTTAATTGAATAAACAAAATTGACCGTAGTGTGTGAGTGTGAATGAGTGTGTATGGGTGTTTCTCAGTACTGGGTTGTGGCTGGAAGGGCATCCGTTGCCTAAAACACTTGATGGAATAGTTGGTGGTTCATTCCGCTGTGGTGACCTCTGAAATAGAGACTAAGCCGAAGAAAAAATGAATGGATGAAAGAATCCATTGGCAGTATTGTCATGCTATTCATTTTTATGTAGCTTGTTTACTTGAGCTATTATTTTATTTAACAGTATTGTTTATTTACTCTATTTGCACTTTTGTTAAGTTAACTATAAAAATGCTGCTTATTTGTGCTTTTTTAATTTAATTTCTTCAAAATGTTATTAAATTTTTCATTTCCTTTAATTTTCCAATTTAGTTTGCTTATTTACTGCATTTGAGCTGCTGTCATTATATTTTATTAAGGAATGTTGTTTGTTTACTTTATTCGGTTATTATATTTCCTATATTATTTGTTCTTGTTAGTTCATGCTAATATTGTTTTATTTTATTTCTTAATATAGTTTGTAAGGCAACACGGTGGCCCAGTGGTTAGCACTGTCGCCTCACAGCAAGAAGGTTGCTGGTTCGAGTCCCAGCTGGGTCAGTTGACATTTCTGCGTGGAGTTTGCATGTTCTCCCTGTGTTTGTGTAGGTTTCCTCCTGGTGTTCTCGTTTCCCTCACAGTCCAAAGACACAAGCTATACATGAACTGAGTGTATGTTTGTGCATGTGAGAGTGTATGGGTTTTTCCCAGTGGGTTGGAGCTGAAAAGGCATCCGCTGCATGAAAGATATGCTGGATAAGTTGTAGGTTCATTTAGCTGTGGCGACCCCTGATGAATAAAGGGACTAAGTTGAAGGAAAGTGAATGAACGAATGAATGAATACAGTTTGTTCACTATTATTTGATTTCATTACATTCCTTGTTTACCCCAATAACATCATAGTTATTTTAATGGTTAATATTGACTGTTAACAACGTCATTACAATTCTTAATATTGTTTTTTTTTTAATTCTGTCTAGTTATTTAACTTTATTCTATCACGCCAAACATAATGTTATTGTATTTATTTGTGTTAATATTGATAGTTTGCTCATTCAATACTATTGTTTCATTTTTTAATATCCCTTGTTTACAGCAGTTATACTATTTTTTTTTTAATTGTTAATATTGCTTGTTAAAGTCCCCAAGAAATCAAAACTAACCAAATGATTTTGTTAGTTTACATTGCCAGTTTTGTGGTAAACAATTCATCTGTGCATGTCAATAAAAACAAAATAATTGTTTGCCTTCTGATCTTTAATTGAAATCTGAAAATGCACTTCCTGTTTGTTTTCAGTTAATTTATCAGATTAGGTGATTTTGCGGTAAGTGGCTAACACTGCTCCAACTGTCAGTTTTGACAACAAACAGAAACGGTTAGAAGTAGTCTGTTAGGTTGTAATAACTCTTCTAAAACCCTTTCCAGATCTTTCTGAATGAAATGCCCACTTTACTAGATCTGTTCAGCTTAGGTAGAAAAAACAAGCCACGCCTACTGTTTGCTCATTAAAATTCTATTTCTCTAGGAACTGCTTCACAACACGAAAAGAATAACGATCGCAGCTTTCGGTTCACGGGGACTTTAATATATATTAATATACTATATTAACAATTGTATATAAGTTTTCCCTCTGTTTAGTTATTTAAACTTTATTCTTTTACACCAAAATTATTTTATTGCACTTGATCACATTATGTACCTCTTTCTATTGCTAATTTAAATTAAATTCAATTTTACCCAATTCTACCCCTTAGTTCCCCTCACCCCTACCTCTTGTTTCGTGCGTTCACGTCAAGGGGTAGGGTTGTCCAAATTCTCTTTAGCTTGAAGGCCTAGGGTTAAGGGGAATGGTTGAATCGCTCTTCGAACAAAAATTTTTAAGGACCACACTCAAAGAAAATTTCCCAGAATACACCAGGCACGATGGCAGATAGTCACACCCGGTAGTAAGGAGATCCACAATTTAGTATTTTTTTGTCATTATTATGAATTTTTACAAAAAAAAAAAAAAAACATCACTGTGTACGTGTTTTATTGTCATGCTTAAAATAAAAAAAAAAACGCTACAATAAAAACAGCTAAATTTCGCGAAATATAATCCATAATCATAAATCCCGTACAGCAGTCCCACAACATTTTGTCACTCGATGAGACTCAAATACTCTGTCAGAAAAGTCTAGTGGCTGGGAATGTGCTTTTTACGGTGTCTGCTGTAATGTTAATGTTGTTTTTTGATGTGTTTACATAGATGAATATGGCCACTGTGTTAAATACACAGTATTACGATCTTATTGTCACATTAGATCGTTATAACATAATATATGGCTTCAGTGACTTCCTGAAGATAAATACCAATAAATAACTCAAGTGGAATAACTACAGCAGTCGCGATTGTCTGATCTCATATGAAGTAAGAGATCGCAATGACATATGATGATGTGTGCAGGTGCTGTTGTGCTGTCCCAATTCTCTTTAAAGGCCAAGGGGAAGGGGAAAGGTTTACAAAAATAGAATTGGGATTTAGTCTTACTCATCCTCTACTTGACTTTTTTTCTTCAGTAGTTGCTTTACCCCCATTATTCTATAAATATTTTCTTAAGTGAACAATTCATAAATGTTTCAGAGCTCTTGCATGTGATTATATAGTAAGGAAAAAAATTTTTTTTGTGAACTATCCATTTAATGCTTTTGCGTTTTTATGTGTAAACAGCTATAGTTAAATAAAAAAAAAAAAAGCCTACCATCCTGACAGCGGATGAGAAGAGGACCTGTCCATACTGGTCTTTGTTCTTCAGCTCTTTAGTGATGCGAACAAAGTTGGAGCTCATCAGAGGAGAGTCTTTAGCCTGCAGTGAAGAAACACATCGCTGGATTGATGATTCTGAGAAGCTTAGTCACAGCAGCAACACAAACAGCATGCACGCTCCTGCTTCCATGGTTTCCTTCATGATAATTTCAGAACAATCCATGACGGATTTAAAAACACTGGCATCATCATCACCAGCCCACTTCGGCAATGCGTCAAACAGATTTGACACTTTATCTGCAACAACAGATTCTCAACTGTGCTTCATGAATAAGCTCTTGACTCATTTAGACCATCTGAAAACTTCAAAGGTCTGTGAAAGCTCATCGTTCATAGAAACTGACGACAGGAATACGGATTCAGTGTGCATTCTGCTTTAAAAATGTGTTGTGTAATACAGAAATCACAGTGAGTTGTGAAATTCAAGAGAATTAGTATGAATAAAAGAATACTCTTCCATTGAAATACTGTATAAAGCACATGTTCAAGGACTCGCTCTTTTTCTCACCATATAACGCCGTTTTGAAAGTTTTTTTAAATGCAAAGAACAAGCCAAGAAATGTTCATTTTTCTGCACAATAATGTAACAAACAGCAAGCAATATTTTAAAAGGGTATTATATAAAAGGATAAAATATTTAAAAATTGCCATTGAGTAGAAATATGTATTTACCTAGGTATAGCTGAATAATAAGAGTTTAGAACATGGGAATGACATTTCCTATAAATCCTAAATGAGCAAAAGACCTTGATTTTTCATTTTGGGTAAACTCTCCCTTTAAGTGACAATAGCCCTTTGGTAAACCAGATTCTCTGGAAAGATCATGCCAACATAAATATGCCAGGACTATCAACAGATCTAAGGTGACCTTTTCAGTAGAGAAATCAGGGCATGAGGATAGTCTCGTGAATGCTGTTACCTCCTGTGCCACAAAAGTCTCTCACTCAAAAAGCAACAGCTAAATTTGGTGGCCATGTGCAACAGCACGTCTGAAATATCCCCAGCCAAACAGCCCAATCTGTGTTAATGACAGTAATTTAAAAGGTTAGAGAAAAAAACACATGTGAACTTTTGAGGGTTAAAGCAGGCCAACGTTTGATTATCCAGCTAACAAGCAGCAAATTAGATCTGCTGACCTGCCATTGGTTGATAAACAAAACAGTTTAGTTTGGACAAAATGATAACTGTACCATATAAATGGGACAGATGATAATCCGCTTGTTAAGTGTGACGTCACGTGAAGGGGCTTCCGGGTCCAATCGCTCTATCAAACTGTATGGGGAGACTCATCAAATGGTAATAAAAAACATTTACAAAGCGATGTAATACTTTCGAAAATTACGATCCCAATATGTCCATGCCTAATATATAATGGCCAGAAAGTGATAATTTTTTTTTAAAAATGGTTAAAATTTGTATTTGTTATGCAGCAAGTCCAGAGACATAGTGTACACTATGGTTTAATATAAAATTCACCTTTAATGCTTAATAGGACTAAAAAGTGGCCATAAACACACATTTTCTTAATTCAAATGAGTAGCGGCTTGGACCCGGAAACAGTATTCCATACGTCACGACTTAACAAGAGGATGGGCCTTATCCTTTTTCCTTCATGGGGTTTTAGTGGAATTCCATACATGACAAAAATAAACATCATAATAAATTTGTTCCCTTATTTAAAGGAGCCATAGAGTGCATTGATTAAATATTTTAAATTTGTTTATGATTTCTACATAGGAGGTACATGGCTTAAGTAAGTTTAAAGGTTCTCAATAAATAGGTTTTATAGGCTTATTTACAGCCACAGAAAGAACCCCTAGAATGAGATGCTTAGTTTTGATCATATTTGGAACCTCTGAAATTGAAAGGTCTAAAATGACACTTTGTAGCTAGTGTCAGTGCATGAAACGCACATGCACATGTAACGGTGGCCAGCTAGTGAAGAGCTGTACAGGTAAACCTCACTCCTCTGACCGCTAAGGCCGTACTCACACTAGGTACAGTTGCCTCGAACCGGGCCAAAGCACGCTTGTCCCCCCTCCCGTCTCCCCCGACGGCCCGCGCTCACACCATATCGGGCCTCGGCATGCTTACGTCATCGCTGCTGCTCTGTTCTGTGAGAAGCGCTCTCTATGGCAAGCCTTTTTAGCATTTAAATCATAGTTCTGACTCCATAAATATATTTAGAGATATCTCTAATTATATTTTGACTAGTCATAATTATAATTCCACTACTCAGAATGACAATTAGAGATATCTGCAAATACAATTGTACGAAATCAGATTGGAGATATCTGCAAATATATTATGACTAGTCATATTCCTCCATCGACTTCCATTGAAAAATATTTGCTGATATCTCTAAATGAGTTTTGATTAGTGTCACAACCAGCGATCGCTCCCCAGAGGATCGCTGGTTCTCACACGAACTCCTGACTTCATTTCCGCATTCCCCAGGACTACACATTCATACATGCACTGCTCCCAAACACGTACGCCTGCTCATTCATGTATCCTGATTGCAAGCACCAGCTGAGCCTTGTTCACAGACTGATTACATCCCATTCATAAGCCACCCTCTCACGCTACCAGGTGGCCGAGTCTTGTTTTCCTAGTAACATTACAACGCGTTTCCCTGTCTGGTAACAGAAGACTCGGCCAGAACATGGATCCAGCGGGTATTCAAATCATGCGCCTCCGTCAGGATGCCCGGTCAATTGAGGAGTACGTGGAGAAATTCATTGAACTTTCACATCTGACATCTATGAGTGAGTTATGTTTAATGATTTTCTTTCGCGGAGGACTTGCTGAACCACTGTACTCCTACATGCCACTGCACAATCCCCACTGGACACTGCCTCAGCCAGAGCCTACGCCGCAGCCAGCGCCTCAGCCAGAGCCGACGTCGCAGCCAACGCCTCAGCCAGAGCCAACGTCGCAGCCAGCGCCTCAGCCAGAGCCGACGCCGCCGCCAACGCCTCAGCCAGAGTCGACGCCGCTGCCAGCGCCTCAGCCAGAGCCGACGCCTCAGCCAGAGCCACCGCCGGAGCTTCCCGGGTGGTCGCCGCCGCCTGAGCTTCCCGAGTGGTCGCCGCCGCCGCCTGAGCTTCCCGAGTGGTCGCCGCCGCCGCCTGAGCTTCCCGAGTGGTCGCCGCCGCCGCCTGAGCTTCCCGAGTGGTCGCCGCCGCCGCCTGAGCTTCCCGAGTGGCCGCGGTCGCTGCCTGAGCTTTCCGAGTGTCCGCCGCTGCCGGAGCTACCAGAACGGCCACAGCTCCTCGCCCTGTCGGCGCCATCCAGACAACTCGCCCTGCCGGCTCCCTTCAAGCCTTGAGCCCTGCCAGCTCCTCGCAGGACTCCAGGTCCTTCGCTGCCACGCAATCCAGGACCACTGCAGCTCCACTCTCCGGGTCTTCCGCAGCTCCAGTCTCCAGGCCCTCCGCAGCTCCACGCCCCAGGTACGCCCCAGCTGCATGGTCCTGGCCCTCCATCCCTCCCCCTGTTCTGCCTCCGCTCCGCCTCCCGCCTGAACAGTAAGTGGAGTGTCTGGAATCCACTCCTAGAGGGGGGGCTATGTCACAACCAGCGATCGCTCCCCAGAGGATCGCTGGTTCTCACACGAACTCCGGACTTCATTTCCGCATTCCCCAGGACTACACATTCATACATGCACTGCTCCCAAACACGCACGCCTGCTCATTCATGTATCCTGATTGCAAGCACCAGCTGAGCCTTGTTCACAGACTGATTACATCCCATTCATAAGCCACCCTCTCACGCTACCAGGTGGCCGAGTCTTGTTTTCCTAGTAACATTACAACGCGTTTCCCTGTCTTGTTTCTCCGTGTTTCGATCTTAGCCTTGTATTCTAGTTATCCTGTTAAGCCGCCTGCCTTTTGACCTTCTGCCTGTTTATATCGACTATGATTCTGGACTGCCTTCATATACCTGTTTGCACCTGATGACCATTGCTTGCCTGACTATTGAATAAACTGCATAGTGGATCTTACCTCCTGTGGTCTCCTGTCACTCCATCCCAGTCGTGGTTACAATTAGTCACAATTGTAATTAGAGATATTTCCAAATGAATTTTGACTAGTAACAATTGTAATTAGAGATATCTCTAACTGAGTTTTTACTAGTCATAATACATTTGGAGATATCTTAAATTCGTCATATTTAGAGATATTTACAAATATATTTGAAGATATCTCTAATTAATTTACTAATAGTCGAATTACAGTTGTAGATATCTTGAATTGGATTTTTGACTAGTCAAAATTCATTTGGAGATATCTCTAATTACATTTGTGACTAGTCAAAACTTATTTAGAGATATCTGCAAATATTTTTTAATGGAAGTCAATGGAGGAATATGACTAGTCAGTCATAATATATTTGCATATATCTCCAATCTAACTAGTCAAATTATAATTATGACTAGTCAAAACAGCTGACGTGCAGTGAGGGGTTTGCGTCTTTAAGAAACTACGGCAGATCACTTTGCGTTCAGTGATTTGCGATCACTGAACAGTAAGAATGATTAATAAATCCATATGAAACAACCCCTTAAAAGTCACATATCGCTTTCAGTTTCGGGCTTTGGTGTGTTTTGCACTCACACACAAGTGTACCGCGCCAAAGCCCAAGTGATCCGCGCTCAGGCACACCTCTTCCAACCGGGCCAGGGCCGGCCAAGTGAACCGTGCTTGAGCCCGATTCAGCGCACTCACACTTCTCAAACGATCCGGGAAACGGGCCTGGGCACGGTACGGATGGCATAGTGTGAGTAGGCCCTAAAGATGCTCTAGAAACAGAAGCTAGAGGCCATGGTCTTTAGCCTCCTTGGTAGAGCAACCGACTCCCATGCGAAAGGTCGTCGGTTCAGCACCATTTCGGAGCGGTTTGGGTGGCGTTAGACCGGCAGGGTAAATTGGTACTATTACACACACATCATGATGAAATTTGAACTTTAAAGTAAAAATAATCATACTTCATGTAAAAAAAATAATAAATTTATCAAACTGCACTGAAAAAAAAAAAGTTTACGCTTCATAATGGGTGTGGAGTGCTGCGACCAGAGAAGAAGTTGGCGTGGCGGCAGAGCAGGGGAGCGAAGCAAACAACTGTAAGTTGGCTCACAAAATGAGACAAACTGTGAGGAAACCCATGATTTTATAGTTTACGAAATAAACAGTAAGTAATTTATTGCCCTGCTACTTTAGTAATTCGTAATTTTATATACACATAACCACAATTTGTTTATATCATTATAAAGACAATCGTGTTTATATAAAGACTATAAATGAGGACTTCTCTCCTCTTCAGTCCCTGGGTTTGAATGCAGACACAGTGGATAGCAGTGCAGCAGGTCCCTTGCCCTATTTATTTAAACCATTAGCCCTGCCGGTAATCTGGAGGATTTTAAACATAGGGGAACACTGCACTGACGCGGTCTCACCCAGTCATTGGGTCTCACTCTCACAGCTTGGCAGGTCTGCCTTGCTTTTGGAAAGCACGTACACTCATGAATAATTAAAAACCAGGGTCATCTCAAAATATAAGAAAACTCAGCTATGAATAATAATGAAAAACCAACACGTCATCACGCCACTAGCAGATGCGCACTACATCACCGATTTTGATCCTGCCCCCAAAAATATTTTAAACCCATAAGATGAAATTAGCTGACAGAAGCTCAAAATTATCCAGTTTACCCTACAATTAAAGCTAACAGGTGCTAACATTGTCTTAACTGAAGCTCAACACACACAAATCTGTTAAGAATTCAAAAAACGTACTCTTAAAAAAAGATCAAGATAAAAAAAAAACAAAAAGAAAAACTGTTTAACTTAAAAAAAGAAGTAGAAACCTGGTTAACTCTCTAAATGAAATTAATGTCAAAACATACGTTGTTGTGACTTCGTATTATGCTATGTTTACAGTATGAATATATGCCTTGTTAACAATCAAATTAAAGTGGTAGAGGGTTGTTTTATCTTAGAGGAATGAGTAAGCTCAAGTAATGTAAAAATTCTGCACACTAAGCAAAGTGAAAATTCAAAATAAGCATCTAAATGAAAAACTCACATTGGCCAAGTAGTCTCTCTCCCAGGAACGGCTGTAGCCCCAGTCCATTCTCTCCCCGCTCAGAGCTGAAAAAGCAGCTACTTTTGCCCTCACCTCAGCCATGTCAGATGGGGGGATGTTTTTGATCAGCTGCCTTGCCCACCATCTAGGAAAGAAGCAGTGGAAGCATTAGAGAAAGGCTAAAATATAAAGAAAAGAAAAAAAGGCATTGTGAAGATGAAGTGATGCTAATACCGGCGGTACAGGTGTTGTGTAATTCTGTGGAACTGTGCCAGGGCTGCAGGTGGTGTTGGCCACTCCACACTCTTCCCATAGTCTGCCATGTTTCGAACGCTAGCAAAACGTCTCTCCACTTCCCAGAAGTGAGCCTTCACTTTATAGCATTTATAATAACCCATTATAGTATAAATTGCTCTTATTTTTCGACATCGCATACGTGCTAATGCACCTCGCCAAACCTGCAGAAAAACAGACATACAAGTTGAAGAAATCACATAATCGTTCTTTAAATATCAAAGATTTTACTAATGTGTAGTAACAATAGTTCAATTGAGCTACAAATTATAAGGGTAAACAGTCTGTGAATGTATATTTCCCACATCTATTTGCTGAAGTGGACTGCACTTGAAAATGACAGCAGGGTGGGAAACACAGCTGGAGTAAGTTTTTCAGGATGAATTGCACGCTCCTTTTAGACACGCACTCATGAACTTCCTTAAGCACCTCCCCACACGGGAATTACTGCTGCCATTTTGAAGTTCCATCCACTTCATCTACTGGACGAGGAAAGTTTACACATATAACCCCTCAACCCCTTCATTATGGTAAGTGCACAGTTTTGACATTACAACATCGTCTTGCATTTGCTGTGTCTTAGGGCATTCCTTTAAATCATTATCAGACGCTCCGTCAGTAGAGGGCACTTGTAATTTTATCATGACATACATCAAGAAGTCAATGAATTGGAAGGAATTTAGAGAGGGAAGGGCAAAAAAATGAGCTTGAACGCAGTCATGAATGAAGAAAGGAAGGAGGGAAGGAAGGAAGGAATGAATGAGTGGAAATGTAAAGGAATGAGAGACTAAACAATAGAGTAAGTTTGCAAATGAAAGACTAAATATGCATGTAACTGAAGAAGTCAGAGTGTGAGTGAATGAATGAATAAATGAATGAATGAATGAGAGATCAAGTGATTGAGAATGTGAAAGAGGGAGAAAGAAAGATCGAATGAGTAAGTGAGTGAGTGAGTGAGTAAGTGAGTGAGTGAGTGAGGGAGGGAAGGAGGGAGGGAATGAGTGTACGAACGAAAGACAACACAAGTTAGTAACAGAGAGTAAGGAAGTCAGAGTGTGAGTCAATGAATGAAAAAATTAAAGAATGAACAAATGAGAGATCAAGGGATCGAGAATGTGAAAGAGGGAGAAAGTAGGATCAAATGAGTGAGTGAGTGAGTGAGTGAGTGAGATAGAGAGAGGGACTAAACAGTGAATGTACGAACGAAAGACAACACAAGTGAATGAAAAAAATTAGGAAGTCAGAGTGTGAGTAAATGAATGAATGAATGAATGAATAATCAAGAATACAAATGAGAGTAAGCAAATGAGTAAGTGATGGAGTGAATAAATGAATGAAGTAATGAATGAACTAGAAATCAAGTGAGTGAGTGAGACAGGGTCATCTGCACAGATATATGTCAGCTGCCGGGTGGTCTCATCTGCTGTGCATTACAGAGTTTCCCTGTCGAGTTTTGGCTAGGTTGTTCTCTAGTTTAAGTTAGGCAGCATTAAGTGGGTCAGCAGTAAAATCAGGGCAAATCTCATTGCAGATAAATAATTAAATGCAACAAGAATAATTCAACAATCCTAATCCTTACCACAATAACACTTATTAGAGTCACACACAGCCTACACACTGGATGAATGAGTGGGAAAATCAAGAAATAATGAGCAGAACATTAGTATTTATATATCCATACCCTCATGTATTATAGCCCACTCTAATTATTCATAGATGATTGTGCATCATAAAAAGATGAATATTGGTTTAAAGGTGTTGTATTTAAGTTTTTGACCCTTATAAACCAGAAAATACAAAAATGTCCTTGCAGATATTTAAGAAACATGCCAAGGGAACATATTGTTTATCTGATAAACAATACTACATTAATCTATTCTCTTTTCAAAAAGTCAATTCTGTGTCAGAATATCTATCTTTGCTTTGGTCTGTGTAACTCCACCCACTGCCAGTTTACACAATGTCCTCAGGTGGAGAGTATCAGCCTTCGAAATAAGACGCAGATTCAGAATTATAAAAATCCATGATAGGACTATTTATTTGTCAATAAAAATATTACAAATGTAAACATTAGCTGACAAGCTTTTAATGTCAGGCTCGATTTTCAGGCTCCTGTTTGTGCTGTCAATCTGGCAACCTGCATGCCCTCCCAAAGGAGTAGGGTCCGGGTGAAAAAACACTATCCAACATTTTGAATTTGGGCCGCAATACATAGTTCAATCACTAGCTGTCAATCCTACACACTGCACCTTTAAGATGTTCTTATATACAGTTGTCACTGTCACCAATGATCCAGCCTGTGCAGATCGCTTAAGAACTACAAATCTGCCACTTTAATGAACTACAAATGTCATCATGCACTTCACTCACACACCTGGCTCAGATTCCGCCTTGATAGCAAACACACACAGCTGAAGCAGCTCAGGACTAATCAGATGGACTATAAACACAGCACACACACATCATTGCTGAGTCTTGTTATACTATTTGTGAACATTATGACACATTTGCCTTGCCTTGCTATGTTTGACCTTTGCTTTGTTTCTGTGTTTGTAGTTTACCGCCTGTACCGACCAGTCGCCTGTTGTGGTGGGCAAAGCGAGGCTTTACGAAACCCTGAAACAGTCGAAGCAAATGTGTCGAAACTTTGAATCGTTTCGAAACCCCACTCTACGTTGACACCTAGTGGTCATTGTTTATGTATTGCACTAGAACAGCTTCAGCAAAGAACAGTTGAGCAAATTTAGGTATTAAACCCCGCTTTGTATGATTTAACCTTCAAGTGATTTAGTGGTGTGGATAAGGTTTCTGACTACCATGCGGGGATAGTGGTTTTGAATCCAGGCCGATACAGCTATTTTGAAATGCTTTAATATCACTTTGTAATGCTCTGTTCTTGTATTGTTTTGTTTCAATACTGGTCTGACATTCGAATAAACAATATGTGAAAAAAATTGTTTGTCTTGTTTTGGTCATAAAACAAGGTTGTTGCTAGATCAGACATGGTTGTGGCCAGAAGTTAACAAGAATTATTTATATTATTCTTTAAATTTCCCATTTATTGTATTTTATTAACGTCTACACAAACCCTAAACCCTACCATTACAGTACTGCAAAAATATTAATTATTGTTTTACAGTGTTCCAAAAATGATGCTAGATTGATGGCGTATCCTCAGCTGCATCCTATCTAGACTACACCATAAAATAGTAACATGATTAAAATACATAAAAGCATGACTTTGGAGTATTTGTACAAGTCGGGATTCGAACCCAAAAGTCATTTGAAGCACAATAACAATGTGCACTTGCACGGTCCACTAGGCTATATGACAAACGTTTTTTTCTGATCATGTCAGTCAAATGCAGATTCGCCAGGTCTTGAAATGCTTCTAAACTGATTGTTGCTTTGAACTGCTTTAGTCACGTGACCAGGTGTTTCGAAACACTTTAGTCACGTGACCTGGGTGCTTCGGATCATGATTCATGCAGTGTTTTGAAACACTTGCGCTTTGGGATCTCGACAGTGTCGAAACATTAGTTTCACGTCAGCCATCCCTACTGTTTATCGAGCACACTTTGGATTACTCTGCATACACCTGTTTGTTCTTGTTTTGACCCTTGCTTGCTAGACCATTCTCTTAATAAAATCTGTATTTGGATCGTCAACTCCGTTGTCCAGCATCCTAAAATTACATCAATGTTACATACAGATATCTCTTTTTATACTGTGTATCCCCTAAAAAGTATATTAAAACATGTAAATAAGAATGTAAAAATAGATTTATGGTCTGCAAGATCAAAACTCTGTTTGTATGATGTTAATTAGACCCACTGATGTAATGGTACATAGAGACCTGCTGTCTAGGTGTTGTGATCCCACTTCACATTCTTGTCACCTCTAAACACGCAAAAAAAAGTAAGCAAGTCAAGAATGATTGCGCCAAACAGCTACAGAGAGCAAGAAAACAATAAAATGAAACAGAGGAAAGACAGAAGGCAGAAGTGGTACAGCCTTAGTGACAACAAGAAAACAACACTGACAGACAGAGACCTGAAGTGCCCCAGGAAACTGCCAGACAGATAAAGAGAAGTGAAAAGAGTGTCTGTCACCTTCTGTAAGAACAGCACTAATATGGGGATGAGCGCGGCTCTCTCTTGCTCCAGGGTGAAGAGTGTGCGAGGGGTCCTGACGAAAATTTTGTTGAGGCCGTACGCAACATCATCCTCAAAGCCATGCTGGTTCACTATGGCCTCCACAGCCTCCTGATCAGTGCTCATCAGGTGATTAGGCCACGTGTACTCACAGGTCATCTTGTACCTGAGAATAAAAACGTCATATTGCACTATGAATGAATTACTGATTTACCATTTATTAGCACTTTAGTCCATTTAGCTTGAAACTGGATTTCAGATTCTTAGAGAATGTGATGCATTTCACACATAAGACACTGTTTAGGGAGTATTTCTAGCACTAGTAATTTAATAAATGTGGTTTTATTTTTGTTGGTATAAAACTAGACTAGTCCACCAACTTGACCAGTACTGAACAGTACTGCAATTTGAAATAAATGTTGTCTTAACAACAAACTACATTTTTTTAAATTTTATTTAACTTTTTTCGCGTTTATTTCAAGTAAAAAGGGCATTGGAATAAACAAAATGTGTGAAGCAGTAACCTCTAATGTCTTTTGCATGAATAATAATGCATATGCAACATATCTCACCTCTGCAGAAAGCGTGCATAAGGCTGTCGGTAGGCAAATCCAGCTCGACGCACACGGACATTCTCCAGCAGTCCCAGATATGCCACTTGGTGCTGACAGCGTCCATCATCAAACAGCAGGGGAGACTTCACCTCATTCGGCTTTATACAGCGCACATAGTAAGGCTCCTGTTGAAACAATTTATCTCAATTTATTTGCAGGAATTACTAAAGTAGGCAGGTTTAAAATATATGGCTTGAATTCATTAGCTGGACTAATAAAAACAGGCACCCAGCAAGCAATAATAGAAAGTATCATTAGGTAAATACTACATGGCCTGCAGTGTGAAAAAGCAAGAATCAATCAATTAAACTTCTCCTCGCTGACCTTTATTCCTAGAAACCAAAAGCTCACTTCAAGACTGAGCCGTGTTACAGCGATTACGTCAATTCCAAGAAGTCTGTGTTTTCCACTTCATTTGAGAGCAACACCATTGCCTTTTTCTGCCTAATGAACTTACAACACAGCCTTCTCATGCCAACCATCTGTTTGTTTGTTTTTATAGTCCATTCTTTTATCCGTCCATCCAACTATTTGTCTATTTACTATTATTTCATTACTTCATGTGTCCATCCATCCATCCATCCATCCTTTTGGTCTGTATCATGTGTCCATCTATTCATCTGTCTTGGTTGTTTGTTTGATAGTTTATCCATTCTTCTATCCACTGTATCCATCTATCTGCGTCTGTCTGTCTGTCCGTCTGTCTGTCTATCATCTGTTAATTGTTTGATTGTATGTCTATTTGTCTGTCCATCACATCCATCCCATCATTGTCCTTCCATTTATCCACTTATCATCCATCCACTTATCATCCATTCATCCACCCATCATATATCAATCCTGTATACATCAATTCATCCATTCATCATATATCAATATTCATCCATACATACATCATTACATACATACATACATCATATATCAATCCAATATTCATCCATCCATACATATATACATCCATATATCATCTTCCATCCATCCATCATATATCAATCCTATATTCGTTCATTCATCCATCCATCCATCCATTATTTCTATCTATCTATCTATCTATCTATCTATCTATCTATCTATCTATCTATCTATCTATCTATCTATCTATCTATCTATCTATCTATCTATCTATCTATCTATCTATCATCTATCTATCTATCTATCTATCTATCTATCTATCTATCTATCTATCTATCTATCTATCTATCTATCTACGTGTATCTATCTATCTATCTATCTATCTATCTATCTATCTATCTATCTATCTATCTATCTATCTATCTGTCTGTCTGTCTGTCTGTCTGTCTGTCTGTCTGTCTGTCTGTCTGTCTTATATCAATATTATATCCATCTATCTATCCATCCATTTATTTGTATATTGACTATCCAGCTGTCTGTTCTGATGTACTGTACATCAACAAAACCTTGGTAAAAAAAGAAATGAGTTAAAAGACTCAATCAAACTAAATTTTAAGGTTTGTTTAAGGTAGACGCAGCAAGGTACCAACTGAACTTATTTTTTTATTCAGTTCTTTTTTCACAGAGCATCCAGAATTTAAAGAGAGGCTGGACAGGGTAAGCGATCAGATGAGGTACAGGTGTCCCCACAGGACCAGAGGGAAGCCAGCCAGTCTTTTACTGTGACCTAAAAAAGCAGAAGCTGCCCTGGATGCAGACCCACTTTGCCCATACAAACACACGTGTACACGCACACACGTGCAGCCTAGCAGACACAGAAACCTTCATGGATGCACTGGGTCATCCTAAAATAACAGCACCAAATGTCACAGTTTCTTTAACAGGATAGGAGAGGAGAAAAAACGAGAAGAGAGGAGAGGAGAGCTGCTCACGGCTCATGGATTTAGCAGGTGCTCTACTGCTGTTAACTGCTTTATCAAATACAGACAGTCTCCATTAGAGAGATTACATTTTTCAACACGTCTACATAAGAGATTACCTGAGCTATTCTGAGAGACCCCCACATTTCATCTTTCCGCAGCAAAGAGTATTAAAAAACTAGATTAAATCCATGCTTAATTCGACGGACAACATATGCTCTTGAAGACATAATGTACTGTTCCACAACAGCCCCTTTCTACACCAATGTGTGAGATTTTAAACGACAAACACAACAAGCTAAGCTGGCCTGGAAACTGTGCACAAATGAACTGAAATCCTTAAATAAGAATGAAAAACGATTGACATGGATTATGATAAAAAAATGAATGGAAAGGTTAAGCAGCAGCTAGACATGCATTATATACTGTAGCAATGATCAAACCAAGTGACATTCATTTAAAATAAGAGAGCAATTCTATGCAAATGTCAACCTTGCCACGAAAAAAATTAAGTTTTCCCCAAAATATGAAAACCGTTTTTTTGTGTAAGCAAGTATTTTACAGTACTTTTACAGATTTGCAGTGGTCCTAAGATGACCCGCATGCACAAAAGTACAATTACGGACAGCACTAAATGTCTAATTATGCACACATGTTTATACTGTATGAAGCACGTTGTCAGATTATGCTTAATATGATTATTGACCTTTTCACAGACAACCATGGTGTATTTCATCAACTGTAAAGGTTTGTTCTACTACTTTTGGTGTGTATTTCAGCATTTGAAAACTAAAATTAGTCTCTTGTTATTAAATACACTGATAATTTGTGATGTATGACAACCGCGGTGCACATCTTTCTGACCACCGTTGTGTAGTGAACTCATTAAGGGTTTTTGAGCAGCCGCAGACTGAATTGTGAAGGTGGATTTGGTTTATTTCTGTCATTGTATTTTATTTTGTTATAAACAACAGGGACGTTCAGAAAGAGGTTTGGGTGCTCGAGCACCTGTCCTTTTTTCTCTCAGAGAGAAAATTCCCCGTAAAATGAAAGTGTCCCCTCCTTTGCGCAGTTTTGCCTTCAAATTGTTTTTCTAAGTGAACAAACAACTTTCTGTGGTAAAGTAATTGCCCTGTGTGCCATTTTACTATGCTGCTGAGGAGAAGATGATGTTTGCAGCACAGAATGATGTCGCTCAAAGATTATGTAACAGTCAGAAGAAATCCGACATAACCATTCACACTGAACGCATTGCAAAACATCAGTCCTGTGTCTGATGTAATACTACATATGAAAGTGGCACAAATCAGATCTGAAAAGATCAGATTCCATGTGGTTTGGGCTGTTCACACTGTCAATACCTGAGTCACATGTGGGCAAAAAAAATCTGATTCGGGCCACATTTGGCTGCAGTGTGAACGTAAGTTAAGTTTAAGTAGATTGAACCTAAATCAATAAAGTTGTCCCAAAAAAAAAACTCAATACTTGTGTTGTTTCAGCTAATTTTAAATAAGTATTTTGAACAAACAGCAAATTTCATTTTCCAGTGTATATCAGTAAAGGGTGTTGTAATAATTGCTCAGAAAGTGAAATTAGTTTAGAGAAATCTTGAGCAGCATTTGTTGGTTTGACATTTAATTCATTCATTCATTCATTTTATTGTCGGCTTAGTCCGTTTATTAATCCGGGGTCACCACAGCGCAATGAACCGCCAACTTATACAGCAAGTTTTTACACAGCGGATGCCCTTCCAGCCGCAACCCATCTCTGGGAAACATCCACACACTCATTCACACACACTCATACACTACAGACAATTTAGCCTACCCAATTCACCTGTACCGCATGTCTTTGGACTGTGGGGGAAACGGGGAGGCATCAGGAGGAAACCCACGCAGAGGCAGGGAGAACATGCAAACTCCACATTTAATTCAATGCAATGATATTTATGCATACAGTGCTCAATATAATTGAGTACACCCTATTTTGAAAATTTGTACTTTTATCCATTTCTCAGTGAATATGGGTAATATATTTTAGCGTGTTAGAACAAATCTGATTTATTATATTGATATATTTATTAAATAATATTTTAGTCAAACAATAATGATACAATAAAATTCATGTAAAAAATTGGGGAAAAAATACAAACTACAAAATTTTAAAATTTTAATACAATTTTAAAAACATTTTGCTTCTCTTTAATTTGGCTCTTTTTAATTAAATGTTCTTTTCCTAATATTTAAGTTTGCATGTACTAATTTTGAACCATTACCATGAGTTGTTTTGTTATATAAGCTTCAAATTTGGCTTTAGTACTGACTAATCTAATGTATATGCACAATATAATATTGTAAAGCTAGCTATAGAAAATATTCATTTAAATGAGAGACTTGTGAGGTGTGTACTCACATATGTTGAGCACTGTATGTACATGTACCTTAAAGCCCAAATGTTTTTGAAGTCAGTGTATGACATTTACAGCACTCATTTCTTACCTTACAAGCCAGTTTGTCGACTAGAGCAATAATAGAGTTTTTGAAGAGTGTAGCGGCTGTCAGAGGCCGTTTGGTCACCTCTGTAATACTCATTTTCCCATCAGGCCACATTTCTTTGAGAACGGGGTCAGAACTAGGAGAAAAGGTATAAAAAAAATCATTAACACTTAAACAAAATAAGAAGTATGAAACAGCAAGTAAAAAAAGAAATATTTTGTTGAAAAGAATAAACACAAATAGAATATTAAGACTAACATAAGATAAAAACACAAGTGCCCTACTTTAGCGAGTCTTTGAATACACAGTCTTAAAGGGATAGTTGTCCAAAAAGTGAAACTTTTCTCAACATGTATTCATCCTTAAAAAGATACCTCACCCAAAAATAAAAATGTACTCATTATTTATTCACCTTGATCTCAAAGCTTTATAAGTGTCTTTATGCTAATGAACACTAAAGATATTTTGAAGATATTTTGAAGAAAGCTGAAAATCAAAGCAGTAACCACTGACTTCAACAGAGAAAAAACAAAACAAAACAAAACAAGAACTATAGAAGTCAATAGCTTCAGTTTCCAGCTTTCTTCATAATTTTTTTTGTGTTCAACATAGGAAAGAATCTCAAATAGGTTTGGAAGTGGAGGCTGAATAAATAATAGCAGAATTTTCATCTTGAGGAGAATCATTGCTTTGACATATTATGTAAAAAAGAATGGTTCACTTATCATTATTCAATTATCATTATAAATGATTAATTCATACACACTTGTTTATGCCAAAAATGTGAAATGGATATGTTCAGTTAAAGTAAGTTCAATTTCAACCATAAATTAAAATTTGGTCATCAATTACTCATTTTCACCTGTTCCCAACATTGAGTTTCTCATTCTTTGTTAACATAAATTTTGTCGCCTATCCACATTTTAGGAACAACAAATAATAACTTCTAGTTGATCATTTGTTATAAGAAATAGCTAATATGAAAGGCAAAGGTCTCTAGATTATGCTTATTTTACCAAAATAAAACATGTTCATGCCTTGATTTTTTATTATTAAATTAGGACAGTAAAGTCTGACTTTTCTGAGACAAAAGTCTTGTCACTTAGCAGAAAAAAATGTACAGTATAGAATATAAAGTTATGATGCAGAGGAAAAAGGTATAAAGATTGTGTATGACTCCAATGAGCTTGGACGACTACATCCATACATCTCTCTAATGACTCAAATAACTTATTAATAAAGTCATCTGGAATGGCAAAGAAAGAGTTTTTGCAGGACTCCCAGAGTTCATCAAGATTCTTTGGATTCATCTTCAATGCCTCCTCCTTTATCTTACCCCAGATATGCTCAATAATGTTCATGTCTGGTAACTGGGCAGGCCAATACCTGAGCACCTTGACCTCCTTTGCTTTCAGCAACTTTGATGTGGAGGCTGAAGTATGAGAAGCTATGCTGCTGAAGAATTTGCCCTCTCCTGTGGTTTGTAATGTAATGGGCGGCACAAATGTCTTGATACCTCAGGCTGTTGATGTTGTCATCTACTCTACAGATGTCCCACATGCCTCCACACTGAATGTAAGCTCAAACTATGATTTTTCCTTCACCAAACTTGACTAATTTCTGTGATTTCATCGAAAAAAACTACTTCTGCCACTTTGCCAAATCATCAACTAGAAGTTGAGTTATTATTCTTTTTTTTTTTTTAACTATCCCTTTAAGTTTCAAATACACTGTAGATGACATACGTCAATGACATGTTTTTTTTTTCTTTCACATCCTTATGGGTTGTGTAAGACATGATGAAGAATAACTGACGACAGGATGTTCTCTTTTGGACATATTGATTATTTTGTTGAAAGAAAGGTTAAAACCACTACCTGTTGTACATCAGTCGCTTGAAATCTTGAAAAAGCGGGTCCTTGTTCTTATCAAGAAAGCCATCAACTGAGTACCTGAGAGGAAAGCGAAAAGAGAGAAATTAGCGCCAGGCTTGAGATGGACAAGGAAATTGCATTAATTGACTGACTCAGAGGCTGAAGCACTCAGCGAACAGTCCTTCATCTATGACTCAGATCACATAAGCACAGATGACTCACAGCGCAGGCAGGTAAACCAACACCTGGACCATTATCTTAACAGCATGACACGAACTAAATGTTTCAGACGGCTACTTCAGCGAAGCCGGTTATTAAAAGATTGTTTTAAAAGATTCATTTGGGTACCTTTTTGACATTTGTATAGACACAAGAGCAGACATAGGACAGGATGTGATGCGGAGGGTTGAGCAGGACGTGACACGATTCCATTTTATGCCAGTCTGATTCAAATGCCATCTCTATGCTGATGTGACACCGGCTTTAATACCCTTTTGTCTATATATGGAGCAGTTCTGTTATATAGGGCAATTGGCAATGCACTAAGCACTGTGCAAATGCTAACCTCTTGGCTTATATGATAAGACGTTTGGACCAAATAACTTTTAGAAAAAGCAGAGGACATGGTTTCATGACAAGGTTTCATTTATTTGATCAATATAGTAATATATTATAATATTATGAAACATTTTTACAATTAAAAATAACAGACTGACCATTTTTATTAAATGTAGTTTATGTATGTGATGACAAAGTCAGGATCATCAGTCCCGTCTATAGTGCCACATGATCCGAAATAATATTTTGTGAAACATTTAAGGTTTTTTGATGAATATAATGTTTAAACAGAGCAGAAGAAAGAAATTAAAATATGTTTTAGAACTAATAGAGGGAAAGTAAGCTATGATATATATATTTTTTTTTGTGAATTGTCTCTTTAAGATTATAAAAACTAAGTATTGAGTTATTTTAAGTTTATTAATGTATTATTATTACTGTATTCTTTGTTGAACGGTTCATCCATACATCTTTGTCTTAATCTGGGGTGCATTTCCCAAACAACGACATAACTTGTGGCTAAACTATCACAGTATAATGCATAGTATACTGTAGGAAAAGAACGATGTAGTGATGAGTGTTTCCCAAAACCGTCGCTGCTTTGTCACAGATCCATCATTTGAACCACGTTAGTTATAACGTAAAATGTCCATAATTATGCTCTAAACGGGATGGAGTAACAACTTCTTTAGAGAAGAACCCCATACTTTTTGAGTACATTTTATTGTTTTCCATGTACATGATCTAAAAAAAAAAAAAAACATGCACTCGTTTTCCATATTGATTGAAATATATGTAAACGACACATATAGCCTAGGGCCTGTGTTTCCTTTACAAATATTATTGAGAATATTCCATATTCTATTCTAAAACATAAAAACCACTTAGCTAACACGTAAATATAATGATATAAATTGTTTAAAAGTTATCTAAATCATTAAGCTAATGGTTGTAATTTACAGGCCATTCATTAAGAAAAAAAAATCCTACTTAATAATAATAATTATTATTATTAATTTTTTATTATTATTGCTATTATTATTAAGCAGGATATTGTTTTTTTTTTGTTGTTTTTTTTAAGTCTACTTTTACCATTTGACACATTCAAAACACTGCAGAAATGTTTTAGCCGACAGGCCCATATTATGTAGATCTACAGTACAGGCACATTTCTTAATAAATAACCTAGATTAAAAGCATTAACGTATGCAATATTTTAGTTTTCACAAGCTTTGGTGATGTAACGTAAATTCCGCTTTTAAATAATAGGTCACTTAGAGCTTTTGTCATGAGCCATGGCTGCATTCAAATTTACAAAAATGTTTTTAAAGTGCACTGCGAAAGGAGCGCATTTGTCAATATAAAGAAACTGAACTGTAAAAATACTTTGAAAGCAAATTACACCTAAGAGAGATGACTTTTATGCTTTTTTAATCGTTCCAAGCCTAGCTTTTGTCATGAGCCATGGCTGCATTCAAATTTACAAAAATGTTTTTAAAGTGCACTGCGAAGGGAGCGCATTTGTCAATATAAAGATCGCTAAAACTTAACTGTAAAAATACTTTAAAAGCAAATTACACCTAAAAGAGATGACTTTTATGCTTTTTTAATCGTTCCAAGTTTAAATGTTAGAATGTTCTAAATCTAAATGAATAGGGCAGAGTGTGGATGACTGAGAATAGAACACAACCAGAAACTATGTTTCTAACTACAGCTCTCTAGGTGTAGTTGCAAGCATACAAGTTTGCAATGCGGTTACCGAATGTTTGTTAGAACGATGGATTTGGGAAATGCCGAATTAACGAACTATGTTTGTAATGGCGAAACTTGCGACCTTAGTTGACAATTTTTTATATATATATAAAAAAAAAATCAAAAACACAAACTAACATGAATATATATAAACTTGGACAAAAAAAAAAAAAAACATCCAGAATGAATTGATATATTGAATAAACCGATACATATACATCATATACATCCATATAGTATTTATGGATAAAGTATGGGTAAAGCTTTCTATTGATGTGCAGTATGTTTTTATGACTGAACAATATTTGGACAAAACATGCCAATTAGAACATTTGTAATAATAATTTTAAATACTGAGAAAATCACCTTTAAGGCTGTCTAAATCCAATGCTTAGCAATGTATATTACCAATTAATGAGTTCTGATTTAATTATAGTAGGAAATTTACAAACATCTTTAAAGAACATGATATTTACTTAGTTTTCTAATGATACAGTGCAGGAAATAAGCATTCAACACATCACCATTTTTCTCAGAAAACATATTTCTTAAGGTGCTTGGAATTTTCATCAGAGGTTGGTAACAACCAAAGAAATGCATATATGTAAGGAAAACAATATTAACTAGTATAAAAAATTCATAATGTGTAATCAAATAAAATAAAAACCATTTTAAAAATAAAATGGCACAGGAAAAAAAAGTATTGAACACATGAAGAAAGGGAGGTGTAGAAAGGCAGGGAAAGCTCAGACAGCAGCTGAAATCACTTAGAAGTTATTCAGCAACCCTCTGCCCTTCATCATTGCAAAATAACATCAGCTGCTTCAGCCCAACCTCTACATTACAACCAGGATGACTAAGATGAAACCTGGGTGGACAGTTCAGCAAGCCAATGATCCAAAACACAGCCACGGAAAGAAAGAAAATCAAGCTGTCAATGGCCCACCCAATCACCTAACTTCAATCTAATAGAAATTACAAATAAAAAGATCAGATTTGATAGACAAGACCCAAAGAACCATCAAGATTTTTACACTCCGTTGAAGAAAAAATTACACCTGAGCAGTTTGTGTTTCTTTATTCTCCATATGAGGGGCATCATTAAGCTCCCATCCCCACTAAAGCCTTTTATATAAAGTATTAAATGCATTTCAGCAGTTCAGTTCTTTCTCCTTATGTCATTCCATTGTTATAACATGAAACAATATTTTCAGATTTTTTTGTTTTGTTATATTTTTATGTTTTAATTGTTTGGGGTTTAACCAAAATCTGGTTCAATTCCATGTCAACAGCTCCTTTAGAACTTTTTTTATCAGAAAAAACATGACATGTTGAATACTTTAAACAGTGCAACACATCTGAGCTAAAATTACATTGACAAGAGTAAAAAACAAAACAAAAAAAACACTATAAAATGCTAGTAAAAGTAATCATTGTTAGTTCATATTACAAAACTAATCTTAAGGAATGAAACCTCTAAATCTAAAAGATCTCTCTGACCCCAAACTTCACCATGGTTGCCAAGAATGCCACACAGCGACAATCCTAAATGCAGCTGAATGTGCCAAGAAAGCTCTAACAGCAAACAAAAGAATTAGCTATTCGCTGTGATTTGTTGGTTACATAAAGTGTAATGCTTGAGAGGAAGGACTGCATGTGCTGGCCAGGTACAAAATCACAGCAGCCCTGAATCCATGCAGCTTTGTGGACCGGATTAGCAACACAGATGTGCCACACCAACAGTCCAACCCACGCACACAGACACGTGTTCTTTCACTCAAGTAGAAACAACATGCAAGCTCATATAAATTTGCTTACACATTTGCCAAAGACCTGCACATTTATTCGCACACACACACACATAATCAAACATGTGCAAGGACACATGGCTGTGGAACAGCAATATCACTAGGGTAAAAGCAGTTCTGGGAGGACAGATGCTGCCCTGTGGCCCTTTCTGCAGTAGATCGGGCCAATTCCAGAAAACAAGGTGAAAGTCAGGGTACAACCGCAAGCTTCTGAGGGAACAGTCTGTGCTTGTAACATACAAAGCAAACCAAAGAGGGACAATTCTCAAAAGTCACAGTGCTATAGAGGAAGTTTGTTTGATGGAAGCTAAAAATAGTGCTTTCAAAATGCATCTGCTACATTTTTGGCGTCAGTATTCGTTTTCATTTTCGGTACAGTATGTTGCTAGTATTATTGCAACATGCTAGTATGTTGCTAGTATTAGACAGTATCATTATGGAGTGTGAAAAATGGTGATGAGATAAGTTTGTAGATCGAATGATAAGGGAAAAAAGGAAGCAAGTTGGAATGGAATATTTTAGCTTACTTATTGTTGAATTACAATCAAGGAGAAATACACATTCACTAATGTTTTAAACAAGCTAAACATGTTGGAGTCGCCTCAAAGCAAGATGGTTGCTGGTTCAAGCCCCGGCTGGGTCAGTCTGCATTTTTTTGTGGTGTTTGCATTCTCCTCATGTTGGTGTGGGTTTCCTCCAGGTGCTCTGGTTTCCCCCACAGTCCAAAGACATGCAGTATAGGTGAATTAAATTAACTAAATTGGCCATAGTGTTTGTGTGTGAATACCAGAGTGTATGGGTGTTTCCCAGTGATGGGTTGCAGCTGGAAGGGCATTCGCTGTGTAAAACATATGCTGAATAAGATGGCGGTTAATTTTACTGTGGTGACCCCTGATAAATAGAGGGACTAAGCCAAAGGAAAATGAATGAATGAATGAATGAATGAATGAATGAATGAAT